TTACGATAATTTGAACCGGAGTTATGATTTTTTGAAAATAGGTCAAATTTGACCTTTGACCTATCATAACTCGGTCAAAAATTAAGATATTGATCTGCGGTTTGCGTCAAAATTCTTAGTTTTTTATGCTCTTTCGAATGAGGTATCACAAGATAGGGGTTGCTATTTGGAAAAAAAGTTGGGGGGCCCCCGTCCCCCCCTGAGGGGGGGACTAAAATTTTGACCCCCCCAAAATATGGTCCCCTTTGAGGTAGGAACATTCCCAAAGTTTCATTTCCCTAGGTCAATTCGTTCAAAAGTTAGAGGGGGGGTCGGGGACTTTTCGCTCACCCTGTATGGAAAGAGGGAATATTGATGGAGGTTGATGAGCGGAGGGGAGAGGGGGGAGGGGGATTGGATGATACGTGCAAGTAAAATTTTCTTTCAGTATCATAGAGCGATTTCACTTTTCTCATGTCCAATCACTTGGACAAATCCATATGGGTTTCATCCAGTCGCAGAGTATATAAACGAGTAAAACAAATGAGCTGCTTGGTTGGTGGTCGGCAAAGTTTTGTTTTAAAAGTCAATGTTAATCTGCGAGCAATCGCTGCGATCATATTCTCAATCCTCTATAAAATTATTCAATTTTCCATTTGTTTGCATGTCGAAGAGGAACCACAACTGCCACTTGGTTTCTTTGTATTTATTCGGTTCAACTATTTTTCCAATGGGTAGGCATGTACCATATTCCTATTATGATTTTGATTTAACACATTTTGATCGTTCTGCCAATATTGATCTATTCGGTAAAATAAAAGCCAACATCTTATAGCTTGAATAAAATAAATTCGTTTAGAATACCGATTGTTTTAATTGATCCTTCTCTCGGTCTCTTTTCCCCTATTCCAGAAAAAGGGGGTGAAGGATTTTCGATATTTTTACAAATTTTGACTTGAAATTTGAAGTCACAACATCCATCTTCAAAAATGAAAATTTTATCAGGTAAAATTCGGCAACATTCGCACGTTCCTTAATTTCCTTCCTAAAGAAAATAATGTTCATATCACTGCAGACTATATCTACTACTTTTTATCGATTATCTCCATTTTCTCCTAAATAGGAGGGAGTACGCTAAGGATGCCGTAAATTATAGGGAGAAGGGGTCCAAAAATAAAAAAATAGGTGACGCAATTTATGGACGGCCTATCTATTTGTAATAACAATTCACGTTTTGACCGACGAAATTTCCTCCTCTTTTAAGAGTCAACAATCTGTTCCCAGCTTCTTCTTATAAATGTTGCCTCGTATCAACGTAATGAATCATCGTAATGTATTGATCAAATGATAAAAAAAACAAGCAGAAAAATCCAACATGAATATGTTGGAAAAGCGTGCCGAATAACTAAAATGTTGGACACATACCTACTATTTTCACGTCTTTGTTATTTGCATCAATTGGTTTGGGAGAAAATATTGATTCATGAACGTTGAATGTAAATTGATTTTAAAGATTCCGTCCAATTATCTTGATTTTAAGCTGATATGCGGCATTTCGCACGGCCGTGATTTGGGCGAGCTGCCGTGCATCGAAATCGCGTTGAGTTAATCTCTTTGGATTTCGAACTGTAACTTCTCTCCTATTCGGCCGATTTTTACAGATGAGGTCGCTTTTTATTTGTACTTTAACGGAAAGTAAGGAAAAACTCGCTAAATAGACGGAAAACAATTTTTGTGAAAATTTGGTGGATCCTGGCGTCACGGTGAATGGTTAATCGGGCGTGGAAGATAATAGGTTCGACGAGGCGACCCTCTCCTCGCCGTCTTTTATTGCCTTGCTCGAAACCTGACACCCAAAGCTATATCGGGAGATAACTGCAGTGGTTTGAGTGGATTTCTGCAGGGGCCACGGTTAGTACATGGTATAAAGAGTCACGAGGCTCATCATAGATTGCACTTGCAGTGCAAGACGCTCATTGGCTAAACAGTTTTGGCGGGAAAGAAGGTTCTAGAGTTGAGTCCTCCGAGCGTAAGAAAGCTTCTATGTGGTTTTTGTCAAATGAAATAATACGGTTTTGACAGGAAAATGTTCTCAAGGGTTCCCAATTAGCAGTTCATTCGGTTTTTTGGTAAGAGACCATCAGAGCTTGACAGTATAATGGTTCAAAGACAAGAAAACGGGTCCGAGGAAAAAAATAATTGGACGGCCCGTTGAATAGCATTGGTTGATCGGTGTGCTACAGCACACCGATCCACTATGGACACACAATCACACTATGGTACATCCGAGTGATTTCAAAAAGCGAGCCCTACTGGCACGCTTAAAAAACGGAAAAAATAAAAAAGAATATAATATCTGCTCAATTTGGCAGGAAAAAGTGTGATTGGTTGCCTGTGCGATAAATGTTTTTATCAAGAAACGCATTTTATCAGTAAGCACTATTACGCTCTGCGCGCTCTGTTACGCTTTGTCTAGAACGTTTCTGGGACTATTCAGTGATCGCATTGTTCATCTGCTCCTGTTACATCTATTTCGGTGAGGTCTAACACTTTTCTTGACATTTAGTCTTTTTCTCTAATGGCCCTTTTCCAATTGACGGGAATCTTTTGCAAAGATTATTCAGCCCACCGACAGCAATTTCTTTCCAAAATACATGTTTTAGTCGTTAAACAAAGTGTAATGTAGAAACGGTACTGTTTTACTATGTTCAGATCAATTCAAAATTTCAAGACGTCTTTCAGTGAAATATAAAAACTAGGCTCTTATAGCAAAAGCTTTAGCGAGTAACCTTCGAATATATCTACTTTGAGTAATAAGTCAAACCAATCTTCTCAAAAAGGGGGAAAATTATACTGACTATAAACCTTTCAGAAAAAAAAAAAAAATTCTCACCTTAGCGCAGCCCGGAGAGCGATGTTGTGTTTATTTTCGGGAGGAATAATGCTAAATTTGACACGAACTTGTGAGCGTTCCCCGATGGCAAAAATCCTTCTGCTATGAGTAGCCAACTAGCCACGTTGCCTGATCTCATTAAGATCTTCATATACAGGGTGATCCACGGTTGAACGGCCAGACTTCAGGAGCCAAAACACCCTCAAATCCCCTCTATAAATTGAGATTTCGATTATTTTAGATCATTTGTGAATTCAGGGCATAAAAGTACAAATTTTAATGAGATTTCGTTTACAACCGTTGCCAAAATTCAGGAAAAACGATTTACTTTCCGATTATTTTTTTTGGGGGGGGGAGGGGAGGGGGGCGTAGCTCCGACTAGGGAAACCTTCGGATAAAACTATATACAACAAAAAAGTCATATTTTTACCCACAGAACACGCTCCTGCAGTCTGGCCGTTAATACCAGGATCACGATGTTTATCTTTTTAAATATTACGTTTCCTTGAATTTCTTTTGCGCAGGGAAAATATAGATTCCAGAGGTATAATTTCAAACTGTAGATTGAAATTCAACCATCAGCAACTTAGACAATGTCTCAGAAAACAGAGGAAGCAACCAGCTCGCACAGCCTCTTCTCTGAGGTCCTGGATGCGCTGAACGATTGTACCGTACTAAACGATCGTGATGCAAATGAAAAAAGGTTGATAGCCGAGTACACGAACTTCAAGCCTGCAAGAAGCATGGAATTGCTCCTCGAGCGATTTTCCTCTGGAGGAGAGGGTCAGTCTTCGACAGTTTTCATTGAGGAAATGAAAACTTTGTTATCTTGGAACGATACCTTGAAAAATTGGCGAAGCAATTGGGAAACGGAAGAAGCTAAAAGAAAGGAGCGAAGAAAGCTCTTTAGAAAAACTAAAGGTTTGACAATTCCTAAACAAGTGGCAGATCTTGAGGAAAAGTATGGTATACAAGAATCAGGCACCGCAACCGAAGTAATAACATACTCACGACTGCGATTTTTATTTCCGAATTTAATAGGCTTGACGTCAAGAGGATATTACGGTGAGAAGAATTTCATTCCTCAAATGTTCGGCGCCCCTGAATTCGGGGGGTTAATACCGTCTAAAGATTTCAGAGGCAAACATGCAATTATTTCCCTGCACCTCTACTGCTTGAGACTCGTGGATCCAAAAACATCTCTGAGGCTCCATCATCTACTCCTGAAAAAGTTAATTTACGAAGGACTGCTTTCAGATCAGAAAAGGCTTCGTTTTCTTGTAGCGCAAGGAGTGGCACATCCAGATGGCAATATGACCGACGGTTTTTGGGATATATATGGACATCTGTTCGAACTCTACCGTAAAATAGATGACGATATCCTTCAAGTAAGTATCAAAGGGCATAAAAACGAATTTTCGCGGTTCCGGTGATATGGGACTGCATTTGAATAGTGAAGTTTTGGGTGGAATTACAACAATTTAAGAGGGTGTGAGAGGGTTATATAGCCCCGAAAAGACATGTAACACGAGTGAATATACAGATTTGATGGGTATTTCATGTCCATTATAAATTCTTTTCCTACATGAGAGCAGTGAAATTACTCAAAAAATTAGGAGACTTTTGATAATTGTTGAATATAAAATACAAACTTTAAATACACAAGAAGACAAAAGAAACATTTAGCATCGAGTTCAGGAGGGGATAAATCCATTTTTTTGACAAAAAACAGGCGTGCTCAGTGGTTCATAGGACAAAATGCTTTCGTTGGTTCGATTCTTCATCTAGCTATATTAGCCAGGCTGTTATATTATTACAAACTCAAAATTTTAGGGCCTGCGTCCAGAGCCTCCCAATCGCATGGAAATATTGGGTCGGTCGGCGCGGCGGCGCTGCGCATCGTGCTCCTAGATTTTCCCGTTGACGATATGTTTTTCTTGGTCAATTATTGGAGTTCATTTCTGTTACTCTGTTTGAGATTCATATCCATTGTTCTTAATTCTCTAAGCTTTTCAATCAGAATGCGATACAGATGTATGTATGATATGAAACATTCACACAGAACTTACTTAACCTCAAACGAGAAAGCTTGATGTCAACAACGGCGGCGTGGCGGTAGTCAGCAGGTCGGCTTCGTCGCCGCCATCTTCCCGTTCTATGACGCGTAGATTAGAATATTCACGGCGCGGCGGTCGGTTCAAACACGTTTTCGAGGACCCCTAAATAGGAAGCGTTATATCTTCGCGGAGACAATTTTTCGTGAAATTTTAACGTGCGCATCGTTCTTCTTGTACCGAAAACTGTAAGATTCGACTATTTGTAGGCGAATATCCCTCCAGAGCTTAACTGACTCATTCTTTTTTATTCCAGGTTGAAAAAATAAATGGATTCAGTCTGTCTCAAAACTACAAAACAACGGGTGATCGTCTTGTTTTAAACTTAGTGACGTTTAGAAAAGTTAGACAATTTATAAATTAAAGAGAATATACATTCGTAAGAGTTTTTGCGTTTTCCTATTCCCTTTCCCTTACTCCGTAGAGCTCTTTTGCTTATCAAAGAGAAATGGGTTAATATCAGTAATCTTGTTTCTCCATGATTGCAATGTTTTTAATGGCCTACCGAGCATTATAGAGGAGAGGGCATTATTTGGGGGGGGGGGCTTCCCATGGAAAATTTTGTAAAAAAAAAATCCCACCTAGATCAAAATTTCAAAAATTTTAGCTCAATATTTCTTAAATAATCCGATGTAAAAAATTAACGGAGGTCAATGCTCACGCAATAACTATATTTCTATTTTTATTTTTACTATGTCAAACACCAGTTTCTAGAGGGTAAGGAGAAGCAAAAAAAAAGTGGACAGAAACATTAACCTACACTATATTGTATAGCTAATGCTTCCTCAAAAGTAAAAGAAAACGCAATTGCATCGCTAAGTCTGACCTTAAAGCCGCAGGAATTTTGTGAGTATGCTTATCTCACTCGTGTCTTCCTTTTTTTATCCCCCTCCCTTTTTATTTTTCGTTAGCTCGAGGGACACAAAATCGGTTAAAAATTGGTATTACTTGAATTTTTTTGGGTTTCCCGAGAACAATTTTGAGAAGGTGATTCATTTCAAGACTGCTTGATGAGGTTAGGAGATCAGCCTGATCAGATGAAGACAAACGATGCAACACATTAACATTCACTATACTGGTAAAAAAAAAAAAAAAAAAAAAAAAAAAAAAAAAAATTGTTACTGACTTTATCCAGTTTTTCCAATTTGTGGCCTTCCTAGATTACCCAGTTAAAAGCGAAACTTAACGTAACGCGAAACGTAGTCCCTTCAAAAGTTACGCTCTTCAGCTCACCGACCGCTGAAATTGCGTCGCCACTTCTTCAGTAAGTTCAAGCAAAAAAGCGAACAGAGCTCAGAATCGAATTATTTTTTCAACAATTCGCCAACCGCTTTTCTAAAGTCGAAAAAAGATAAAGTCCGTTCTTCTCGTTAAAGTAAATACGCGGCTGGGTTGTCGAATTGTGCGCAAATAAAATTAAAAGAATAGTTTTCACCAAACAAAAGTTTCGCGGAGTTTTCATCTGGATTTAGCGTCAGAGCGAGGAGACTTTTTCAGAGCACAATTCTAGAACCCCTTCACCCCTTGCTTCCTGCCTATCCCCGACGATGATTCGGAGCTTTTGATGAAAGACACGGGGCCTCATTACGGCAACAATCCAATCAAGGCGTCTTTTCATTACACTGTTGCCAGATTAGTGATGTTTTTTCCTTAGAGGCGAAAAAGGAGCTGAATGAGTTGAGGATCCTCTCGTCTCTGGTCCGTTAATCAACAAGTTGAAGTATTTATGCTAAAATAGACTATATGCACAAACGAATACAATCAAAAGTAACTATGTAATGCGCTAATCTTATGTGCAAGGTTTATTATGATTTTATTTATTTGCACATAATTTTGTCCGGCAAAAATGGGTTCAATTCTACTCCAATTTGATCCCATGTTGCACATCAATGGCGTAAGTCGGCAATCACATAACTCGGTTTGCGACGTCGCAGACTTCCTGTCAAACTTTATTTTTTAAACGGAAAACTACTGAACGGCAATTCTTTACAACTGCTTGTTCTTCTCTGTGCGAAGAAATTTCAGCAAAAACTTCAAGGAATGATCTCAATTTGTTCTCCTTTAAAAAAATAACATAGAGGCGGAGATTTTCAGACATCGCAAACGAGATGTGTGATTGCGGACTTACGCCGTCGACATATCTCTGGCAGCACAAACCAGTCTTGAGTTTACGGCTTGAAATAAATCAGTGAGAACGAAAACACACCGACTCAGTACCTCCAAGATGCCTAATTTTCATGTACGAGAGTCAGTTTTCAAAAAGGATCATTGAAGTTAACGCATCTGCTCCAACTTGGACCTTTAAAGTATCCTCAAGTACTTGTCTTTTGATACCAAAGATCTTTTTCTTGTGCTAAATTTTTCAACTACTGTGTAGTTTTGCGCGTGTCCTGATTATTTTCATTTTTTCGAGTTGGTGTGTTTCGTTCTCACTGATTCAAATATGGATGGAGTTTTTAGCCTGAACATTTAAAAGAATCATAATGGACACACTGGAAAACAACACATTGTATCTAGAGTCCAGACTCTTAAAAACATCGACAAGAAAAATACTCTGGATTCAATCGGATTTAAGCTTAAATCAAGAACCAAGCCTCTTAATTGAAGCGGATTTCGTTTTTATTCAAGCAAAAATCCGGTTGAATCGAGAGTATTAAGCGCTCAACCGATAGGCAGCGCTTTTTAATTTCGACTTGCCTCTGAGTACTAGTATACTAGTGCTAATGCGTTTAAATGGCGCACCAGCTGATCGATGTGTAGGCTTTTTTTTTTGGGGGGGGGGTCCATTTTTAAAATAAATAAAGCTGTGAAAACTGTATTTGATGCTTTTAACGTAATGCGCAGGTAGTTTCGATCGTTTGTCTATAAGAAAATTTCTCAGCGGTAGAGTAATTCTTATCGAAATTGATCGTTGAACTCGTATGAAGCCTGAAAAAAACGCGCCTGATGAGCTCAACGGTGAGCTCATTTTCGGGAAACGAAAAAACGCGTTTACGGTTTCCTTGGCAACCTTTGTTTGCTATCAGCTGATGTTTTATTTCCATTTCCCAGCCAAGTCGACGGAGTTTATACGTCCTTTCTTCATTAAAGACATTTACTAACACCTGAGCGCTTTTCTAATACGACAGTATTAGAACTTTCCCGCTTCTTTTTTCTTGTCGATGTTTTTAGGAGTCTGGACTCTAGATTCAATGTGTTTTTTTTTTTTTTCCAATGCTGTAAAGATTACGCAAATGTCTAATTCACCTTTAACTTTGGAAGACGGCCCTGAATTAGCCCTTTTTGAATTTACCCTTTGATTTTCTCCCTCTGTTGTTCCCTCGAGGCAGTTGCCCGAAATGGATCTCCTTTGAGTGCGTAAAGGATCACGTCACTCCCAGCCGTGCATCTGCGCCAAGGGCACTACTGTTCGCACTCGCCGGACCATCATGCAAAATTGCGGAATTTCCTCCGGAACCCGTCCGCAGCCCTTGCACTGCCATCGTACCTACTTCCGGATATTTTCCGCCCTTCCCAAATCAGATTATTCAAAACAAACTGGCATTAAAGCCCAAGGAAAGGAAAAGTTGAGAGATTTACCGGAAAACTCACTGGAAAAAAAACACATTAAACCTAGAGTCCAGACTCTCGAAGACAGTGACAAGAAAAAATGCTCTTTATTGAATCAGATTTTTGCTTAAATCAAAGGGAAATCCGCTCAAATTAAGAGGCTTGGTCCTTGATTTAAGCAAAAATCCGATTGAATCAAGATTATTTTTTCTTGTCGATGTTTTTGAGAGTCTGGACTCTAGATCCAATGTGTTTTCTTTTTCCAGTGCTTCCTATTGTTTTTTTATAAGATCGTCACTCTTCTGACAAACACACATTTCGCGCAGTGGCGTGGCGTGAATTGCGATATATCGAGTGTTCTGTCATTTAAATCTATGGTAAAGAATCGATTATTAAGGTGTTCGCAGCGAACATCCTGTTTATCGATCCTTTTCCATAGGTTTAAATGGCATAACAATCGATATATCGCAATTCACGCCACGCCACTGATTTCGCGATGAACCCTGTCTACTATGTTGACAGAATTTTGCAAAGGGGAACTACAATTGGGCAGCGTTAAACAGAAAGGAACCAAGCCACATCAGCCATTGCCAGATTCAATTGGGCAATTTAATATTATACACGAAAACGGCTGTGCGGATTTTTGTGCTTTCTGTGAATTTTCTCCGTAGTGTGAAGCAAATTCCTTATAAATTTTCAAAGGGATCCGCACAAACGTTCTTTTGTAAAAAATTAAATTGCCTAGTTAAATTTGGCAATAGCTGATGTGGCTTGGTTCCTTTCTGTTGAACGCGGTTTAATTTCTGGCTTGAAGATAAAGACACCTACCTGCATAGAGTACCTGATGACACATACGTTTTTTAAAATGATCCAGAAATTGTGGTTTTGAATTGAGAAATGCGGTCGAATGTTCGATGCTTTCCGGAGCTCATCTCTAAATAAAGTTACGTCCTTCAGTTATCAAAGCAACGACAGTTGGAATTTTGCGGTTAGGAATTACGATTTTTACAACGAGAGTAATCGTGCTCTAAATTGAAGCATTCAGTTAAAAAACGAGGAAACTCTGTGAGAAAAAAGGCAGAACACGAAACAAAAACTAACTAGAGCCATTAGATCTCACGTATTTGAACACATTTCCTGCGTGTGCATGTTGTTCATTACAAAAAGACTAACAGGCAGTGGTACTGCAAGGGTACTGTATACAGATAAAGTACCTGTCTGTTATTTGATCTTGGAGACTCTAACAATGAGTCTTTTCCAATCATAAAAAAATGTTCTGATGTTAACTTTACGGCTGGCTACTTTTCGGGAAGACAGGGAAAGGAGGAATCAGAAAAGGAAATTTCAGTTGCGCCCGACTTTAAAATACTTTTTTCCGGAGTAAAATGAATTTTTACTTTTTACAGGAGTTGGATCGTTTCTAAATTATACAACTCAATTTAAAACAAACTACGATAAGATGTGCAGTACCGATCTTCTCGACCGATGCCGTGTGCAGCAAACCGGTTACTATACCTTAAGCAATTTTATACCCTGCGTCAAAAGTCAAGTGGAGGCGCCGGGTATCGATCCCGGTACCTCTCGCATGCTAAGCGAGCGCTCTACCATTTGAGCTACGCCCCCTGTTGGCGGTGGACTGATTTCAACGACTTAAAAACAACTAGCAAGTTCAACCATATGTGCGAAATCGAGTGCTGATTCAGTATTTCTGCAATGTGCTTTGTACCGCCGGCCGTGCAAAGTGGCAGGGCAACGCCCTAGACAGTGGCGAGGCGAGAAAGATCGATCATCGATATTTCCCCATTTGAAAGTATGGTAAAGAATCGATTAGTAAGGCGT